CCAGCCAGGGAGCTGACCCACGTGATGCAGAAGACCTTTCCTGTCTCGCCCTCTGCTCCCCTCAGCAGTGTATTTCAGTAGATCTGCCTGTTCTGCTCTTCTACTCTGTCTTTGGTGAATCCTCTCACCCCCCACACCTCTGGCCTGTACCCAAGCTCTAGTATGCAGAAATAAATATATTTTTTAAAAAAGCTTATGGGGCAACTGAAAGTTTTATTCATCGTTAATATGGATACAAAGTAGTACAGTTTGGGAAAGAGCTGGGAAGTTTCTCAAAAAGCTGAACATAGGATTAACATATGGCTATGTCAATGGGTTCCTTGGTATTTTCCCAAATAAACTGAAAATGTATGCCTATAATAAAACCCAAATGAGTGCATATTACAGCTTTATTCATGTTCATCCCAAATTTGAAAGCTTGCAAAGGTGAATGGAGGCACATTGTATGGTGATTACAAAAATAATATGAAGGAACCTAAATTCACATTGCTAAGTAAAGAAGCCAATTTAAAATTGTTACATACTATATGATTCAAACTATATGACGTTCTGGAAAAGGTAAAAATGTAGAGAAAGTACAAAGATGAGGGCAAGGAGGGAAGGAGAAATGAATAGGTGTAGCATAGATATTTAGGGCAATGAAACATTTTTCTATAATAATGTGATAGTGGGTATACATCTTTTAATATTTATCAAAACCCGTAGAGGAGAGTAAACCTTGAACTGCGGACTATAGTTAATAATATATCTGTATTGGCTCATCAATTGTTATGAATGTGTCACACTACTGCAAGATTTTAATAATGGGGAAACTGTTGGGAGGGGAAAATTACTCATGAAAGATTATATGGGAACTGTACTTTCGGTTCATTTTCCTCTAAACCTTAAATATAGCCTAATACAGAGCCTATTTTAATGAAAATATATGGTATTGAAACATGCATAGGTAAAAGTACAAAAATAAAACATAACCACTGAAGCTTTTACTTTAGTTAGTCACTACAGTAATCCTTAGAGTACTCTTGGGTTATTAACATGAACTCCACTAAAAGATCTTGAGCAAACCTCCAGCATTCCCTTGCTGATTTCCTCTGTGGACAGATGAATCAAGAAAGACAAGGACTAGTTACTAGTAGCACCAGGTGGTTCACCCCAACTGTGCCATTGAGATAACAGGAATAATTGACAAAACTCAGTTTTGTTTTTTTTTTTCAAGATGTCCTCTATAAAAACCCTACCCCAAGTGCCAACCTCTAGAGATGGTTTTTCTAGAACATGAGCCTGCCCATCTCCCAGAAACACTGCTCTTTTGAATAAAACTGAGCTTCCCTACCCCCAGCTCATGTCCCTTATATTTGGTGTAAGTGGTAAGTGGCTAAGAACATGGGCTCAGTGACACAGATTGGCCGGATCAGATTGTTTACTCTATCTTTGCAGGGTAATAGGGAATTTAAAATAATTCAATAACAAAACACAGATGCCACAAGATCTTACTCCAGACACACCCAATCCCCAGGAGTAGTAAGACAGTACTTATTGGAAATGTAATAAAGAAGAGAAAGAAGTTTGAGAAATGTTAAGAAAATACATAATACCTTCCTTCTTTAGGGCAAAGAGTCAGATTTTATATTACTAGATTTTCATAGCTATCATATTTTTATGTTTTGTAGTTTTCAATACACTTTCACTTACACCGTGTTCCTAATCACACATACTGTTTTATCTGGTCCCGCTGCCTATCAAGCTCGGTATATTTAGAGCTCTTAGTGTCTTTTCTTTAGGTCCTCGTGCTCTATCATTATGCCATTTCCTGCTCCTCTCATTCAGGTTTAGAATTCTCTTTTATTGTAGAGGTTGTGAGGCTTAATATAGTGGTTGTTCATTGAATCATATTCTTAAAACTGGAAAGAGATTTTAGAAATTGTCTTTATTAAGAGATTATTATAGAATTACATGGGGACCAATACACTGAGTGCCTGAACTAACTGACTGGAGAAATGAACAGAAAAAAGGAGTCTCTTTCTACTACCCAACCCCGCTTCATCTCTTCAACCCAGAAAAAATTCTTTTTAAAAAAAGCATGAAATAAGGGCCTCTCAGCCAAGAAATAAATATATTTGAAAGTTTGTCCTTTACCTAAATGCCTGTTAGTCTTTGCTCCTGGACACCAACATGCCCAATCATGTTCTCAGCCCTCAGTGGCCTTCTTATAACCACAGTTTACCTGGAGGTTTCTGTTCTTTCCCCAATCTAGTGCATCCTATCTCGAGCACCAGAGAAAACTCCCTAAGGATACAGATTTCTTTGTAAAGCCCAAGCCTCTCAATGGACCATTTACTGGACTCCACAATTTGATTCTTTCCTCTTTCTCCAGAAGCATGAAGCTAATACCATTCCAAATATTCCACTGTTGTTCTTCATTCCCTAGCACACCACACACACTTCTTATTTGTGTCTCTTTTTCATACTATCTTCTGGAAATGCTGCTCGACTTAGTAGGAGTGGCAATAACTGAATATTACAGACTGGGTTACTTATAATTAACCCTTTTTTTCTCACTAGAAGCTGGGAACTCCAAGGTTGAGGTGCCAGCAGGTCTGACACCTGGTGAGGCTTCTAGGTCCACAGATATTGTGTCCTCATGTAGCAGAAGGAGAGAGGAAAATCTCTACGGTCTGCTTTATGAAGGCTCTAATTCCATTTATGAGGGCTTTGGGCAGGCACATGATTTAATCAATTCCCAAAGTTTTCATCTCCAAACAGCATCACATTAGAGATTAGTTTCCACATATAAGATTTTTGGTGGGACATAAACATTCAGCCCAGAGTAGTCCATAATATAACGGTCATCATGCCATTATCTCAAGTCCCAGATAATTTTTTCCTATTCACTGCAAGTCTTTTTTGAATGTCACTAGTTAATTTAGCTCTTCTGAATCCCAATGACATTTCTTTTTTTTTTAATTATTTTTTTTAAGATTTATTTATTTATGCATACAAGAGCTGGGGTATAGGCCAGAGACGCAGGGGGTGAGAGGATTCACCAGAGACAGAGTGGGGGACAGAACAGGCAGATCGATGGAAATACACTGCTGAGGGGAGCAGTGGGCGAGACAGGAGTGATCTGCTGTGCCATGTGGGTTGCTCCCTGGCTGGCCCAGGATCGAACTCCTGCTGCAGAGGCTATGGATTACTTCATAGTGCATTATTTAACCCCTTGCGCCACCAGGGAGGCCCCCAACGACATTTCTTATGAGTAGTATTCATGGAACACTTTGTGACATTACCTTAAAAATGTATTTGATCTATAACTTACATATTTTATCCTTAAATTAGGTTAAAATTTTGGAAGATAGGGATCTTATATTGACAGTTTTTATCAGTGTGTTTGTTTACAGAGAAGTGCTCAATGAAGATTTATTTACTAGAATGGCAGTCAGTTTTAGATGTAACATCATAGAATTTGAAGTCTTTGAATCTTCTGGTGCTAAATTATGGGGAACATTTCTTTTTCAGAGTACAAAATTAATATATTTCAATGTTAGGGACACATTTGGAACAAAATTCACATTCCAAATGTAATATTTAGCTTTATTCAGAGAATGTCTTTCAATAATATTCTTAAAATGCAAATCACTTTTGACTTTCTCCATGTAAATTTGATAAGAATTACCATAACACCATCAGTTTGGAAACTGAGATTCTTACATGAATAATATCTGTAGAGGTTGTTTAACTTTTAAAAAAGTGAAACCTGTTCATCATATGAACTATGGCAGAGGATTATAAATGCTTTGTTTTTAGGCATGGTGTGAAGCTGTATACTTAAATCACAGAGTTGTAAAACATTACTTCAATTAAAAAAATTGTAAATTTAAGAAAAGCTTTTGTATTCTTGTGCTTTAGATCTTTAGTTCTTGTTACATCCATCATATACATTATGTCTAGTCTATATATAGGTGTATACATATAGTTATATATACATATATGTTTTACTTTACATGCATATCTACATGTATACACATACATACACATACCTATATAAATTCACGTCTTACAAAATCTAAACTTGAGATCCTTTACTAGTGAGAATTCTTGGCCTAATAGTCTTCATTCTTCAGTCTCATCATTCTTTCAAAAACTCTTTGTCTCCTGAGATTTTCATGATAAACCCTAGACTAGATATTTATATAATATATCCACATACATATATACACATATATGCAAGAAAAATATTTTCATATATATATATATACACACACACACACATACCCAAAAGACAGACACACACACATTTTATATGCAATTATTCTATAGAAAGGTGAATGGATTTATATTTTATGTCTTGTAGAAGAATCAAACATAAATAAAAACATTTAAAGTTGTCATAATCTTTTAAATTCTATTTTCTCTCTATTTAATTTCTACTATACCTAGAACCTCTAAAACAAAAACATGTATTACTAATTTCATCCTCTAAGAATTCATATTGGTTCCTTCTTCTTATAAAAAAATCTTTAAACTATTCAGAAATACCGATTTTATGATGCTTGAACCAAATGTCCTTGATTCCTTGGTTGTTTTAAGTCCATGTATATCCTACTGTCCTCTGAATGTTAAACTTATTTAATCTCACTTAAAATGTAGTTTCTAGAATTAAGCACAGTGCACTAGATATATTCTTACTGGGACAGGTTAGGATGGGCCTATTTTCTGAAAAGCATATTTGGCTTTTCAGTGGTCGTATCACTTTTGATTCATATTGAAATTAATATTAAAAAGCTCTTAGTCATTTTTGACATCATGTACTAAACTAGGTTTCCTTTATTCTATATTTGTGCACTTGAACCTCTCTGTGGGGGAGGGGCATGGTCCTCAAATTGCAGCTATAATAACTGCTTCGTATTTTATTTTAAATATTCTGAAAGTTAAACACAAAAAAAAAGTTATTAAAGTTATTAAAAGTTATTAAAATATAAATTTGGAGACACAAAACCTACCTATAAAAACCTGGCGGCACCTGCTGTACCAGGAAGCTTTTCTCCATGTCTTGGAGAATGTCATTGAGCATTCGAACACGGATGGGAACCCGCTCCTTGGGGTCATTGGCAGGACGCATCTCGTCTGACTGGAAGAGTCCAGCACTTTCCCGAAGGTGGGATGACAGGGCTAGCAGTTGATGAGTGTTGGGCTGATCACCTGAGAGAGATAAATGAGTCCATTTATGAAATAAATTTGTTCTTCAAGGAGCAAAATAAACATGGTGTCACAAGAAAGATTCAACATCAAATTTTAAAAATATATGCATTCTGGGACCTCTCTGGTGGCGCAAGGGCTTAAGCACAGCACTATGAAGCAAACCGCCGCCTCTGCAGCAGGAGTTGGATCCCTGGCCAGCCAGGAAACTATCCACATGGCACAGCAGACCTCTCCTGTCTCGCTCACTGCTCCCCTTAACAGTGTATTTCAGTAGAGGCACCTGTTCTGCTCCCCACTCTGTCTTTGGTGAATCCTCTCAATCCCCCACACCTCTGGCCTGTACTCTAACTCTTGAATGCATAAATAAATAAATCTTTAAAAAAACTATGCATTCCACAAAAATATTCTATCTAAAACATAATATATGCTACTAGAAGTATTAAATTTATTACTACTACTACTAATATAATTATTATTATACTACCACTAGAAATACAGGTAATTAGGTACACTTTGTGGAGAGACTGCCATGTTCCTGAGTTAGCTTGTCTCACATTCACCAGACCTCTTATTTTCATAATAATTTCATAGAAAATGAGAATTAAATTGATTGCCATATATCATCAAGTATATAAGAACAGGCCAAAATAAGAAACTTGATCTTTCTGACTCAAAATTCCATTCATCATCATGGAGTATCCTGTATTTCCAAGAAAAAGAAAAGTAGAAGGAATTGTTTTCTTCTGAAAACATGAGATATTTTACTCTATGTTGTTATGTGTCATCGGACTCTTTTCTATAATAGAAATTTCCTGTAATTTGAAGCTCAAATACATAATCAATTTGAAAATACTGTTAACTCTCTGATATAATATTTGCATTGTTACACTTTGCGTTTAAATGATTTTTGTTTGTTGTTGCTTTATTTTATATTTGTTTGGATTATTTACTGACAGTCATTTGCATATGAAGAGTAGTAGCAAAAGGCCCTCAGGACATTCCTTTGACTAAGGGAAAGTCAATATTAATGCAGTGATTATAGCCACTATACTTAGAGCTGGAACACCTGATCTCAAACCCCGGCTCTATAACTTAGTAGCTATGTGATTTTGGGCAAGTTACTAAGATGCAGTGTCCTCATCTGTGTAATTAACTTAATAATATCATTATTATAATATCAACTACTATATAGTTTTGTTATGAGAACTAAATGATTAATATTTGTAAAAGACTTCCTTATAGGTGGACAGTTCCCAGCTGATGTGATTTTACACCTTATTTAAAAAGCAAAAACTTGTCATAGTATGAGGAGGGCATCTACCATCATCTTCTAGATATCTCCATCATTAGAGTCAGTTGTAGGACAAGGCAACAGTTAGTGATGTCATTCTCAGGACTCTAAGTAAAACTGACTCCAATAATGTTAGTGTATCACCACAGAGGATGACTTCAAGCTAATGAAGGGAACATGGACTGGTAACCCTTAGCTGGAAGTCCTGGGGTCATTGCACTGAGTTAGGTAGACAGAAGGATAAAAAAGGTCTGATTAGACTTTCACTGGGAAAAAGGAAAAACTCACAAGTGGCTTTATCCAATTGAAGTTCTAGGGTTAGTGGCTTCCAAACCTGGTCTTTGTGAAGCAAAATGCAAATTCCTAGACCTGTGATCTCTTTCTGGAGACAGAGCTCAGGAATTCAAAATACTACTCAGCATATTCCACACATATTAAAGTTTAAGAAGTACTACAAATATGTAATGTGCTAATAAAAGTAAAACTAGATCAGAATTATAGCTGATGTATAAAATATGTTTGTTATAGAAGTACTAATCTTTAATATACTTATTTTTAGGATCTCTTTCCTCATTTGATAGGGCTATTTTATATGTCACATGTTTAGGTTACCAGCCTAGTACTGATACTCAATATTATTGAATAAACCAGTGGATTTAATAAAGCATTTTCTAAAAATCCAATAGCAAAATAATACTATGTAGAGATAAATGACCTTTATGAGCTCTACAGAGATGCATTCTTTATAGCTCTCAGATTACTGAAATTAACAATAAAAATAAAGTTAATTATAGGAGCTTATGAAGTTTTATAATTTTGATGTTTTCAATGTTCTTTGATTTCACAAGAGAACTTAAGCCTCAGCCTGGAGATGTATGTTCATTGAGGAGATCTAGCCCCTAAATAACATTAATAATTTAATTTTATGAAGATTTGTTTTTTCTTAAATTATGATGGTTCACCAAACTCAATCTATGGAGCATTAATAAGAAATATCTCTGCACAAGGAGAAAAATAAGATGGATAAGCACATTTTGATTATACTGCTATTGAAAGACTGAACAACAGAAAAAGCAAGTTTGACATCCTTGAGAGTTTTCCATTTAAGAAAGAAAAATCTGTTCTGATGTAACATACACTACAGATTGAAGACATTACTATTGAATCAAGTGATACAAATAGTACTATTCTATCTTATTTAGCCTCAAATGAAGGTATCTTTCATGATGGTGCAGATATAGACACTTGACAGATTTAGAAGCAGGCTAGTTCCAGAAAGGTCCCAAATAGTGTAAACCTGCCACCTACAGCACATCCTTAGCATTCATTACTTCAAAGGCAAGAGGTTACAAATTTAAGAGTAGCCTTAGTTTGAATGCTCACTTGATCATTTTGATATACAATTGGTGCTCCAAAGATTCCTAATGGACATTTCTATGCCAATTAGCTCTTGCTTGTTCGTTCAAATAAGACTCAGAAAAAATTGTCACCTTCTCTATATAAGTTCATGTGACTGCAAATAATTGCTCCTTCATGATCTTTGGGATATTGAGTAGAATGTCAGCTCCATGAGGGAAATAATTTTGATCCATTTTGCTCAGGGCATTTTCCCAGCACCTACAATACTACCTGGCATATCATTTAAAAATGAATGTGTGAATTACACACTTTTATCATAGCATCGTAACATCTGTAATGCTTTCATTCTTATTTGCTTTGTGTCTTACCTTCCTTGGCTGAGAAGCACCCCCCGAATCAACTAATATGTTTCTCAATCTTTGTATCTCCAGTTTCTGACACAATACCTAGTATGTGGTAGTCACTTCTTAAATTTTTTTGAGTAATTGTTGAATTATAATATTGTATTTAAAATGTATCATTAAATGAAATAATGCCTACAAAGTCACTCAGAGAGAGATTTGGTGCAAAAAGAGCAAAGCAAGTATTATTTCATTTACTTTCTTGTTTAAAATCAACAACAAGCAAAAACGAAGAAAATAAAAGAAAAAGGACTATTCTATGGTAGTAGTTAAATTAGACTACACTGAATCAAAATATGGTCTACTAAGAACCCATAAGAACTAAGAATACATAAAGCTTGATTTAAGAAACAGTGAATGTCAGAGCAGAGAAGACTAAATAATTTCTTAACAGTTCAGGTTTAATAAGCCATTCATTAAGTTGAGCAAAAATATGAACTGGGAGCTAGAAATTTCTCTCAGAGTCAACACATCTATCTTGAAGCTATATATACACAGAGACTAAAGATCAAGAACTTAATATTAAAGTAAACAAAAACATATAAAGTCTAATCAATTTAATTACTATCAAAAGGGTCTTCAAAGATTACTTAATCTTTGAAGTTGAATTGTGAAACAGATGTATCACACTTGTCCCCATACACCCTTTAATAAAGATTCTCAATTTTATTCTGTGGTGATAATAAGTCTGAGTCATTTTTGCTTCGTAGGCTGAGATTTCAAATCTCTGAAAAACAAGGAAAAGGATAATATAAAGTAAAACAAAGCATAAGATAAAACTAAACCAATAACAGACACTAGAAATCTGACTATAGAGTTGAGGCTACTGGAGGGAGAGGAAGAGAGAGATTGCAGAGTGTGGAGGGGGCACAAGGGACTATAGGGGAGGACTATGGATTCCTTGGTCGTGGGTGTGGTGTGTGAACATACATCTGAAGGATACAATCCTATACCTCTAAATTATATACAATGTTGAAAACCAATGTTGCCTCAATTAAAAAAAAAAAGACCAAAAAGTAAAACAGTTAAACTTTTAAAATAATATTTTTATATCTTACAATAATTCTCCTTGTGAAAATCCAACCATTGAGCATTACTTGCAAAGTAGAACATGCAGATTTATGATAAATATTGGAAACCAACCATAATATAATAGAAAATAATGCAATATTACCTAGTCAATTTTTTTTTTTTTTTTGCAAGAACCGGGGTATAGACCAGATGTGTGGGAGGGTGAGAGGATTCACCAGAGACAGAGCGGGGAACAGAACAGGCAGACTGACTGAAATACACTGCTGAGGGGAGAAGTGGGCGAGACAGGAGAGGTCTGCTGTGCCATGTGGGTAGCTCCCTGGCTGGTCAGGATCAAACCCACAATGCAGAGGCTGTGGACAGCTTCACAGCGCTGTGCTCAACCGCCTGCACCATCTGGGAGGCCCCAAATTATCTTGATATTAACCAAGAGACAATTGAAATGTACTTCTAAACTTCAAACAGAAATATTTGCATTTTTTCTCCTTCATCTCAAAGTAAAATGCACATTTATTTTCAGTAAGTACTTACTAAGATCTATTTCATAGGATATTCTGTAAGCGTTCAAGAGAGGCAAAGACAAAATATGATTAAATCTCTACCAATAATAAATTCCAAATCTATTGTGGATTACAAATAATCCACAAAAGGAGAATAAATGTAAAAAAAAAATAAATGCTCATCAGGATGACTGAAGAATTGTGTAAAAGAATAGTTTAAGTAAGTCCAGGGAAGAAGTGAAATTTGAGAGACAAATAATGGACTTGCCCAGAAGTCAAGGGCATCTCAAATGAACTTTTCAAAGTTCTGGGAAATTATCTACATTAAAGTTGTGGGGGTTGGGAATGTTCTATCTGAAAACAACACCATTGATCCATCTTCCCTGTCTCTTCCCTTAGTCTTTGCTTTTCCAGAGG